CATTACCCATTCAAGCCGTCTCCAGCCATTAATAGTTTTTACATGTTTTATAGAAGGGAACAATAGTCTGTTGGTAAAAGAAAACTCAATGGCTTATTGATTTACAAAACTCAAGCATGTCCCCTGGCATATTTCCACTTCTATTTTAACATCTCTTAGTATTCATGGCATTTGAACATGCAGACATATCCATAATAACCCCAGTGTTCAATGCACAGAATGTAGCATTTTACAGTCACATTCGACCATCAGCTTTCATCTTTTCACAAATTAACAACGAATTGTTAAGATTCTAAAATTGTCTTACTTTGCATTAAACAAAACGTTGCAGATCATTCTTAAAGGCAATGTACAATTTTCGAATTTCAATCCTTCCAAAATACGTTCACTCTTGGGAATTGCATTATATAGATCGCAAAGATGGTGCCAGTCCACATGTGCAATACTGCAGGGCACGTCAAATGTAAAATTGGATTCCAGATGGGAGGGTAGTTTGTGTGTAAACACGGATGAATGTAAGATAGAATTATGTTTCTTTCGGCAACGATCAAACTTGTTAAATATAAACAGTAATGTCACAGAAGTGCTGAAAACATGCTAAATTAACGTTTCGGAATGTTCTCATTCCATTTTGAGCATTTGTTTTTTCGACAGAATCAAATAAACAGGAAATTAATATAGTAAACAAAGTTTAAATTGACAATATTACAATTTTTATAAATGACATCAAAACTGAAATATATTAGCTAGAAGAAGTTTAGTACTAGAGAAATACAACAACTACAGAAGTTCGTCATATTTTACATTATTACCCCCTTCCCGGCCCCAGTGGATAGTCTGAATATTTATAATGCTAAAAACCGGGTTTCGATACCTTCAATGCCCGTGACTGACACAACACAGCTCATTGTGTAGTTTTGTGTTTAATTAGGAACTTATGACATCTCATGAGGTACATGGGGATGATAATTCTTAACAGGATCTGAGTTAATCCCCATGCCTTCATATATTCGTACTGGCGTTAAGTTTTTCGGTATAAGCAGCCTTGCAGCTTCCACGTTATAAGAGTAAATAATCCATGTACGAGGTGAAGCTTGAATGCGATCTTTTGAATTTACGGGTAGTACTTCTGCAGAATTTAATGAGCCGATTTTTAAGACCCAATCTTTATTTGCCTAAGTAAGGAAGGCTTAAGTATACAGGACATTGAGGGACGGTAATGTGTTTGGTCGTGGTATTAATTTTCTTATGTAAAAAAGAACGAGTGATAGGCTCTAGAAATAGTCCAAGATATCTATTGAGTTTTGAAGAATCTTATATGAATTCTATTTCAGTGATAAATAGGAGAAACAAATGCTGTAATATTTAATTAGTAAAGAGGTAACAAGGGTTCGTTTATATCTAGAAGGGATAAAGCTAGCAAAGCCTGTTTACAGACCAGTGAAAGTATCCTTGTGAAATGTTTATACCGGAAACCGTTAGTATCACAGATTATTAAAAGAAGGGCAGGTTAAAGTTGTTTTGGTTTCACACGTAAATTTTTATTGTGTTGATGTGAG